TTAGTACAGTAATTCTACCTAATGGGGTCAGGTCACGTGCTAACCAAGAGTTCATGATGATTTTCAAACTTTTAAGTTTGTCTTTGTAATTTCTTTCTAGCATTTCTCCCAAATTGTAACAAAAATCATAATAACGAGAAGAGTAAAACTTTTTCTTGTTCAATCTAAAACTTTTGCACATAGTTGTATCAGAGAAGCGTTTTGCTTGTGTTAATTTTTAGGCCTGAAAAAGACGCATATGTTTGATGAGTTGTTATGATGTTTTGGAGACAATTTTCAGTTTATTTTGATTTTAACATATTTATTCACAAGGAGTGAACGGGGTTGGGGGACAAGTTTTTCCAACTTTGAATGCCTGTTACGACGTAAATTGTAATACAAAGGTAAATTGTAATACTTGCAGCAAATTGTAATAATTTTGACATTAATTGTAATAACAACGTAAATTGTAATAATATTTGACGTAAATTGTAATACGCAAACTGTAATATAAATTGACGTAAATTGTAATAATCTCTACTTGCAGTAAAATGTAATAAATTCTTACGTAAATTGTAATAACCTCCAAGACGCCAATTGACTAGAAATGATCTTTGTCAGTTGAGCTTGTGTTTCAAATGTACAATTCTAGAAATACTGTGTATGATGACAAACGTACAAAACTGTTAAGTTAGGGATGGTTAGTATAGGTTTTATCGTGCAATCGTCATTAAAGGGTGGTGTCAACATAGTGAAAGACATTGATTGGAAGTGATGTGATGTTTGTGGCATGCTATCATCCAAGTAGAAGCTACTACCATCTGCGTAGAAAATACTATCATCTACGTAGAGGGGCGGTCGGGTAGCCTAGTGGTTAAAGCGTTCGCTCGTCACGCCGAAGACCCGGGTTCGATTCCCGACATGGGTACAATGTGTGAAGCCCAATTCTGGTGTCCCCCGCCGTGATATTGCTGGAATATTGCTAATACATATTACATACACACCTACATGCGCGCACACATACATACATACATACATACATACATACATACATACATACATACATACACATGTGTGTGTGTGTGTGTGTGTGTGTGTGTGTGTGTGTGTGTGTGTGTGTGTGTGTGTGTGTGTGTGTGTGTGTGTGTGTGCTGATGATGCCCAAGTATCGCAGCAACAGTATGATTTGGTTTCTTAGATAGTTACTAGTCTTTTCATCAGAATTTTAACAAAGTATGTTGTAACTTCATTACAGTGCTTGCTGTTTGTTGTAATTACTTTAATCCTCTTAAATTATTGTCCGTCTCAAATTAGTGATAAAAAATAAAAAACGTATTATCTACGAAGAATATACTTATGTCTTCGTTGGACATACTTAGAATACGTAGAAGATACGTTTATCTAATGTATTTGCTACATTCTAATTCGTATATCTACAGGTTTGTGTTTCTATTTTATCTTTTAAAATATCTTACTTTGGTCATTTGTTACATTTTGTATAACCTTTAATTGCTCATATCAGCATTTTTGCATTCATAGATCTGATACCAATGACATATAGAGGTCGTATTTACTGGCATTCATACATACATACATACATACATACATACATACATACATACATACATGCATGCATGCATGCATACATACATACAGGAACAATCGGTGATGTCAGTTGTGAATTTATCAAATTAATGTCCGTTTAGGTTACTACCTCTCTGAGTCTGGGGAGGCAGTGGATAATTGGACAGAATCTGGTTAAAAAATCTGTATAAAAGTAGTGTTTGTAATTGTTATTACATGATAATACATTTCGAAAATCTGAGTGAGAGCCAGCAGATTTAATTTCTTCAGATAGATAATTCCATAATTTTGTAGAGTTAGGTATAGAGGATTTTGCGTATTGTTAAGTCTTACATCTAATTATTTGGAAGTCTCAGTTTCTAAGGATGTGATCACTGCGAGCGTTGACTTGGTCTGGGATAAGGTTGCAGACATAAGCTTGTGCTAAATTGTTTGCCATTTTGTAGAATAACGATAGAGATTGTTTTTTGCGCCATAGTGACAATTGTTTCAGTTTGTTTCTGTATACAATTTGTATGGCTTGCGCCCCGTGTGGCGCCACATATGGCATATTCTTAAAAGCATCCAGATTTAATTTTTCAGTGTCATTCCTTGAACGTTATTCCAAAGTAAACTACAATAATCAAATATTTGTAAGATACATAATTTCGAGACTTTTCCTTGAGAGGTGGTATTTTGAGCTTCTGAAACAGTTTATCATCAGAGTGACCTATAATACAATACTATCTATGTGAGAATGGCAGTGAGTACCACGCCTAAATGTTTATGCATTTCGATCAACTTTTTTTGCAATGATTCATTCATTCATCAGGAAATTTAGTATATTAAATGGTTCCGTCTTGCGGGAATATGAAATACTTTCGTTTTTTCAGGGTTGAACTTCACTTGCAACGTTTTAGCCCAGTTGGAGATTTCAATCAGATCAATTTATATACTCATATGTCTTTTTTTCAAAAACCATTGACGATTGGTAAGGTAGTTAGGGCAGTCTTTTGATATAGAAGGAAAGCTTTTGATAAAGTGTGGCACCGTGGATGAGTAAACAAACAGACTTATGGTATCAAGGGAACATCATAATAATGGTTAAAAGTTGTTTGATGGATAGAAAACAAAGAGTAGTTATCGACGGATATAACTCCAAATTAAACATTATACTGGTCTGTTCTTGGTCCGCTGTTGTTCTTGATTTACATAAATGATTCATTTGATGACAATAGTATTATCCGGTATATCGTTGTCGAAAACCCAGGGACAGCAGCCTCAGTTTTAAACAAACATTGTTGCCCAAGGTGTAATATCATACACAGTGGATTTTTTCAAATTTATCAAAAGAGATTTTAAAATCAAGGTTTGAAGTCTGTTATTTCTTATAAACTTAGATGACGGAATTTTTCACAACGTATAGAAAAGTCATTCTGACACCTCAGTTTTGTAGTCTGAACATGTTGAAGTTTACATCACAGCTGGCAATCTTTCAGTTTACAGCGATGACAGTGAATAGAATAGTTTTAGTATTGTTAAAAAATAGCTTTATGATCGATATATGGTTGTATTTATACTGTATGACAGAGGGTTTACCTGGTAAGTGAGACATCAGTTAGCATCTCACTATGTACATGTATCACCGTCGGCTGATTTAATGTTTCGACAAACAAAATATATGTTTTGAATTCGATATTTGGTCCAAATAACTTTCGTGGAATGCTTTTGTGATTTTACTGGACACATTTTCGAAGGGTGTTCGTGGTAACATTTGTTATTCTGAACTTCCCCCGGCATATTAACACAGCAAATCACATTTTGTCACGTTGTGTGGGCACGTATTGCTTGTCATAACACAAAAACGAGAGAGGCCAATCTTATTCTACAAAAGCTCGACAGTCTAGTAAGCTGAGACACATACACTGGTCCTTTCGTTCTTTATCTGCCGCATATTAATAGCTTAAGAATTACAGATGAATCTTGTTAATACTATATCTTAATGCGATTTGAATGTTAATTATTTAGTTTCTTATTTACTACATGCCATAAATGTGACGTCTTAAATTTACAAAATATGTATTGTAAATGCCTAAATATGGTTGTGATATATTGACAGTAGGTAGCTGGTAGCTGTTTATTCAACAGACCCATGGAACAATACGACTTTATCCCTTTTAACTGGCACAGTTAAAGCTCAATTGTTATCTCTGGTAGCGGCAACTATGCAACAGGCATCTTATACACAATCCCGCACTCACGTCTACTGCTCTTTTCCAGTGGTACGACCTTCTCCCTCAAATGCATCCTCCATGGTACATGTATAACCTGCTCTCATTAATTAAATGCTGCTCTTTCCCAGCGTCACAGCTATGGAGTTAAGACTAAGAAACCCAAACTATCATAAAGTAATTAGGGTCAAATAAAACAATGTCCGCCAAACCTCATAAATATATTCACTGGAAGTCGTATAATGTCAAATCACACAAACTCTTCTTTTACAAATTTTCCCAGATCAGGACTTCTCTTGACACTAATGCAAAAGATTGCATAGAAGCCAATGATCGTAATAAATAAGATGGATCTGATTGATCACAACAGTACTGATATTTTCCTATAAAATCACAACTAAAAAGAATACATAAGGAAGTGCCTGACATAATGTGTTCATAAAGAGTCAGCAAGAACGCGGGAAGTCTCAAGCGATACCTCATGACACTGTTCCTTGCAAAAACAATCATGCTTATGAATACACAATGCCATTTAGAAAGTGGTCAAATGTAACACATGTTATATTTGGGATAACTCTTTCTTAGTAAAGTACAGATTCTAGTTTTTTTTTGAGTTGAGTCCCGTCCGGGATTCGAACCCACACTCCCCGACGGGACTCAACTCAAAAAAGTACTAGAATCTGTACTTTACTAAGAAAGTGTTATCCCAAATATAACATGTGTTAAATAATGCTTATGGTTATTTATATTTGAACTATATATATATTGAAAGCAGCAACTATGGATGATGACTGATGGTAATCTGAATAATTGCTAAACAGATGTAGGGAGTTTTGCGCAAAGGTGTAGTGTGTATGAGGAAGACACTTGCAATAGGATTGGACACCATAATTACTTACAAATGCATTTTTGAGGGTTTTCAATCCATGTAAGTTTCATGTCAGTGTTTTGATTGAATTGTTTATTAATATGAATAAAGTTGTCATATGTGTACCAATTATCGCCTTTCCCAGATAACAATATTCAGTCACTATCTATTCTTGTTGTAGAGAGATCGAGATCTTAGTGATGGCCCATTCTGTTGATAAGAGTTTAGGTTATTGTGTTTTTACATTGTTAATGTTATGATCTTTCACTCGCTACACTTGTTTCCTTGTGAAGCCTTGTGAAATATGTCAATATATGCCGATATGCAAAAAGTACACAGAGCATATTCATGAGCATACGTCCATTAACGGCATTGATGACATTGCATGTGCAAGTATATCAGGTATGTGTGATAGATCTTGGGAAATCATACATAACTGAAGTGCTTATGGACCACGATGATGGAATAAGCTCACATTCATTTAATTACTAATACATATCAGGATCTTTACAATGAAGAAGAAATATGTGAAGCACAGTGTTCGAAGGTAGATACTTACCATAGACGTTGAGCTGCTGACCACAGCCTGCTATCCTGGATCCTATGGAGTCTGGAGTGCCACTATGGCAGCGAAACTGACCTTCGTCATTTAAAACAACATATTTCAGCTCAAGTATCAACAGATCCTTTCCATGAAATCTCAGAGTAAGTCTTGATCTGTATACCTCACTGACAATATTTGCATCTTTGAAGTTCGTCACATGGGCCAGGGGTATGCTCCAGTTACTATTCCAAACAGTGAACTCCCTGACTGCAGGCTGTGGGAGTCTGCAGGACAGAGTTACAGTCTCACCAATCATTGCATCATCTGAAAATGAATGAGTTTGGTATAATGACGATTAAAACAATATTTCAGTTACAACCAGTGGATCGGCTTAATGTTAGTGGACAGCTCGAAGAGATGCATGTCTTACACATTTGCCACTTTGGTGAAACCCACGAGCGTCGGTAGGGTGCTGTCAAACATAGAAACATAAAAAGGGTCACTCATGCCTAAGGGACGCATTTCTGCACGGCAAATAATCACGCCTTTGGCGACTGGCACAACCTTGCCCTTGCATCCTCTGTAAAGGCAATAGCCATAGCAAATTCATTCAACATAAACCATGACAGTACAAACATCCAGTGCACTGAATACTAGGCATTTCACCCAATTCATATGTTTTTTAGTTATGCCTAACTGAATATAATAAACTGTAAATTATAAAAAAAAATTAAAACGTTAATTATGACAGCATACTCATGGTAATGCAGAGTTCAAAGGTCTCACAGAGGAGAGAAGCACTAATACATGAATAAAATAATAAACATAAACAAGGTTTAGATAGGTTTATACACCCTGCCATTCAATTCAAATGTTTTATGTTGGCATGAATATTATTATGACAATTTTCACTGGAAATGTTCAGATGTTCAACGTGTTTGGCGCAATTTCGGTAGGTAAGTTCCTTGGTAAGTAATTATCTCAAATGATGATAAGAGAATATGCTATACTGCGCTCACAGATTCATTTTATAATGACAATATGAAACATTTCTTTTTAGTGTCTGCGTTAGCAATATAGTTTCCTATGTCATCGGCAACTTCAATATGTACAAAACTAGCAATCACTAACACATAGCTTTTTGCACAGGACATGTCTTAACGTCTTCTGAAACATTAAATAATCCAAAACTCAGTTAGTGACACTACCTTTAAATCAAAATCATTGTAAAAAGTCTAATATTATATTTTTGGGATAACAATGGGCTTCTGACATTCCTATGTCTTCATATATTTCTGAACTTCACATATTATTTGGTGAAAGCACTTCTGTGAAGCGCATATCTGATTTTCGCGTATGTGCTTGTTCCATTCCAGTAATGCTTGTGATCATTATGGCATGTTAGGGCTGTTTACATTGTTCTGCATGCTAATCATACTGGGAAACCGAATTGCACAAAATAATATTAACACTATAATTATTGTAAATCCTTAAGATCGCGATGTTCGGTTTTGGCTATGGTCGACATCCACTTGCACAAAGCTATTTACTTTTGGCCCGGAAGTACCTAAGATTACTGCAGTCCGTGAATCACCTGAACAGAATGGCATGGAAGATATGGTCTGTTTCATAAAAATAATCTGTTTTAGTGTCAAACATTGACATTTCATTTTTTAAACTGGGTCATTTGAATTGACACTTTAACAACACGAATGACCCATAACACATATTACGTCAGATATTTTCTTGATCACAATATTGACCAACATAACTAAACTTACGTCCAAAAGAAACTTTACCAGAGTTTGAAATCACTCTTGCTCAAAAACAACAAAACTTACATGCATGAAGTAAAGTGTATTGAGAAGATCAATATATCAACATACTCAACACTGAACATGACAATCATACCTCGACCGAGAATGACGTCAGAGCCCCCCAAAGTTGGTTGTGGTACAAAACTCGAGCTTTTAGAATCATGGACAATAGGCAGAGTACATACACAATCGCTCACGTTCAATAACAAGTCATTAGTAGCGTGTGTGACCACCAAATGCCTCAATACACGCGAAAACTCTTCGACGCACTGAAAAAGTCATGAGGTCACATGGGATTTGACGCCATTCTTCTTGGGGGGCCAAGATCAGTTCTTGCCGGGTGTCTGGAGAGTGTGGTCGTTGTCGAACACGACGATCCATCAAGTCCCAGAGGGGACATGTCGGGTGAGCGTGCAGGCCACGGCAGGCTGTTGACGTTGTTGGCTGTGAGATGGTTAGTGGCAATTCTGGCTGTATGGGCTCTAGCGTTGTCATTCTGATAAATGACACCACGTGGCTGCTGTTGGAGAAATGGTAGGACAACTGGACGAAGAATGCTATCCATGTACCGCTGAGCTGTTTCCGTCAACAATGACCAGCGGTGTCCTCTCCTGCCCACAGATCCCTCCCCACACCATGACACTCCCTCCACCATATGATACGACCTCCTGCACGCAACACGCCGCCATTCGTTCAACCCTTCGGCGGTAAACACGTTGTCTTCCATCAGCCCTAAACATACAGAATCGACTTTCGTCAGTGAAGACAACCCTCTGCCAGTCACGTCATTGCCAACGTCGTACAGACCGGGCCCATCTCAATCGCAGACGACGATGTTGCGCTATCAATAGCTGTCCTCTGTATGGCCTAAAAGCCCTGATTTCATGAGCCCTCCTGGCCACTGTCTGTCGACTAACCCTGTGACCTAAGGCATTTGTCGCCGATGACGTCAATGTCAGGAAGCGATTTCGGAGGTGCAAGGGACGCAAGTAACAGTCATCATGGGGCGTGGTCACCCTGGGTCTGCCTGTTCTTGGCCTGTCAGCGGTCCGCCCTGTCTGTATGTAACGTTGCATCAAGTTGGTAACGGCAACACGGGAGCAACCGAAGGTTCGTGCAATATGGGCGTGGGTGGCTCCCATCTGTACCATACAAAAGGCTCGTTCACGTTGTTCGACTGTGAGTCATGACATTTCTTTTGTGTTGTTTTATCACTGTGGATGTCTGACTTGCCGTTGCAATCGTTTTATACCCTTACCCGCACGTGCATTTGCAGTTGTCCGGGGTGCACGTGTTTTTCACTTTTTCGCGTGTTATGTCGCAAACATGTAACAGACGATTAACATTTCTGCATACACTATTGCTGTATTTAGGTTATGTGTTTTAGATAGACTTCATCGAAAAAAAATGTATACTTTGTCTGAAATTTATATTTTCAGTTGGTAAAGTTTCTTTTGGACGTCAGTTTATTTCCATGTGACTCTTTGCTGAAAGATGTCTAAAACAACAGGTCTTTCCGATAATTTGGGAAGGGTGCAAACAGGAGGTGTCTTCAAGTTAAAGTAATGACTGTGACTTTTTGGATAACTCAGGGAAGCTAATGTTAGTTCATAATCTGATTGAGAGTGCCACTCAGTGGACCCTCTTTGAATATATGTGTGTCATTGTCCGACAAGCCCTTTGCCTATTAAAAACAGTTGTCATTGAAGCCAAAGTTATTCATTTCACAAGTAACTACATGTGATCAAATATTTGAGTATAATTAAATATTTTTATTATCAAGCAAGGTTATACTATTTTGTTTTGTTTATTAAGAAAAACAAGATTGTCTAAATTATAAAAAAGATAAATAAATGATGCCAATTTTAGTGAATATAGTCTTGTGGCATTAAATGATTGAAGCGTTAGTAACATGCCGAACGCTGCTGTGGTCAAATTTTAGCAGTTCTCTGTGGCTGCAAGAGTTATCCGCCTTTGTATAAACAAATAAACATGACAAGCTTGATGGTTAGAGAAGGGTCAGTTTCTAAAAGAGTGGCTGTACCTATAGCAAAGCGACACGAGGGCGATTTGAGCCCTGACTTGCGTCTCATCTGAATATGGATTGAAAGCTATCTGAAAACACAGAAATCCTGCCACCTTCCAACTTTATACCTGAATCAAATAAACCCTTTTCAAGACAATCGACAGTGAAATGTTCTGGACATTCGTGAGGGCACTGACACACACTACATTTAACATGTAACTTCCCCTAATTTCGCGAAAGTTTCCCGCCACTAATGCGGCACTAACGCGGTATTATTGCACCACTTGTGAGGCGTTAACTTGAAACAGCTCAACTTTCCAGATATTTGCCCCATCACGATAAAATGTATCCAGATCGTGTCATGTGCACGCCCCTATCCCGCAATTTTTACGCCACTATCGCGCTACTTTTTCGAAACTATCACCCCACTTTCCAGACATTATTGCGCCACTTTTAAGCGCTATCGTGCCACTTTCCCGCCACTAACGAGGCACTAACGTGGTATTATTCCGCCAGTTTCGAGACACTTTTGCACCTTCGCACCTTAACAAGAACTCGCAAATATCGTGCCACTTTCAAGCTACTTTCGCGTCTCTTACAAGCCAATACCTTGTCGCCAACGATAACCAGCCATGCTTATGTTTTTTCACAAGAAATCAAAGACCTACTGTGACTGACAGCAGAACGGAATTCCCGTATCTATACCCACACGAAAAAGAAACACAAGTGTTTTTTTAGCAAATAGGTAACAAACACGGAATCATAAATTGATACGAGTTTTAGCATGTAGTGAAGCCTGATGGCATTTTGGAAGCCCCGATTAAAAACGCAATATAACAAACGAATCGCTAAAACGCACCATTTCAATGAATATGTGGGTATCACGCACCCATTTCTCGCGAAATCGAAAATGCACGAAGTGTCACGAACTCTAGTGGGTATAAAACTGTGGCCGATTCTTGGATCTACCACTCCTGGGTCAACAATGCCACGCCTAACTCACATTCAGAGAAACCAGGATATCGGACGTTTGGAAGCTGGAGAGTCTGTCAAAGATGTTGCCCGTCATTTCAACGTTTACATAACCACAATTTTCCGCCTGCTGCATCGATACAATGCAACACAGACCACAGATGACCTTCCTCGGAGCGATCGCCTTAGGGTCACCACACCTCGACAGAATCGGCAGATTACCCGTCAACACCAGCGACATCCGTTCCAAACTGCAAGTGAAAGTGCTCGACAGACCATAGGAACACATAATCGACACATTAGCCGCAACACTGTGATCCGACGTCTCTATTCCAACAACCTCAGATGTCGCCGACCAGTATGTCGTCCTGTTCTCCAACCACGGCATCGACAAGCACGACTTCAGTGGGCACAGGGTCATCACAATTGGCGTCATCGTGAGTGGAGGCGTGTCATCCTCTGTGATGAAAGTCGCTTTTGTGTCTCCCATGCAGACGGAAGAGTCAGAA